GGGGGAGGGGGGGGCAGGGCCGCCGTTCGGCAAATCTGACCCCAGCGCGCTCAAATACACGAATTGCGGGTTAAACTGGGACCTTCGTGAAATGGATCAGTTTGATCTTGTGAGAAGTATATTTTTAAATGTTAAAAATGGTTTGTCAGTTGGGGTTTAGCTTTTTCTGAACGTTCCTAAAGGAACCCCTGTGTCGTGAATAGCAGGTTAGTGTCAGAGGGCGCTTGGCTGGACAGGGGGGTGCTCAGGAACCGGCTATATTGCACAGAATAGATAAATTTAATTAAGTTTTTTTCATGTATTTCTGTATGTAATTGTTGGAATAGAGCATACAGTGGTTTTCGGGGAGGCAGAGTTACTGCAGGTTCAAATTCCTGTGTTTATTTCTTGCCTTATTAGTGGTAGGTCATTTTTCAGCATTTTTTTTTTTCTTTTCCTAGAGGTTATAAGCAGGAGAGCAGTTGGGAAGAAAGGTGGTTTTGTGCTGTCTCAACTCGAGAAACTCACAAGTAACAGCAAATGTACACAAAGGAGGGAGAAAATGAAGGGTAAAGCTCAGCACCACCTTTCCTACCAACCGCTGAAGCATCAGGGAGGTCAGGTCTCCTATCACTAAGCCTAATGCACAGCCTTAGATGTCCACGGTAGTTTTTGGCCTGCAAGAAATAAAGGGGGAAGAATCATCACTTCTTTTTTTTTTTTTTTTTTTTTAATGGAGTAGTCTGAGTTTTATTAATTGTTTTCTGTTGAGATCAGAATTTGGGGAACAAATTAATAAGGTTATAAACCAGATCCTCCCATGTCAGCACAATGCAGTAGTCTTTTATGTCACTGCCTTTTTCAATTCCCCCACACTCCTTTCTTCTTGTTGCGTCTGTCCATGTCCATCCCCCTCCCACTCCCCAACCCCTCTTTTTTTAACATCGCAATGGCATTGGATAGAGATATTTGTTTCCAAGCAGGTTTTTCACTCCTGGTTTTTTTTCTGCCTTCCCCCTGTAGTTGCTGTATTTTATCCAGGCACCTTTCCCCTGGCCGTGGCAGTCTCCTTCGAGGATACTGTCAGTGTTGTGCCCTGGACCAGCTGTTGACTGCAGGGAAAGGGCCATATGAAAGCTGCAGCTGGTGCTCACCACTTACACCACTCCCTTTTCTTCCTTCTGCATCTCTTCTTCTCCAGAGTAAGGCATACTGCTCGCTGATACGTAATTGTCCATTCTTAGGGTTGGGCAAGTTTTAATATCAAACAGAAGCGGACTTTAAAAAAAGACGTGTGTGTGTCCTGAAGAACTGGAAGAGAGCAGATTGGGGAAAGGAGCATTTTACCAAGCACTTTTTTTTGTCTATTTGATTAGCGGCTTTAACTGAAAACTTTGGGAAAAATGTTGAGCAGGAGTATGAAGAAGAAAGACTTCTGTTCATGTTGATTTGTATTTTATTATGTTTGGAAAAATGTATATTCACTTTCCCTGAGTTTTGGATCATTTGCAAGTATCTAGCTAATTGAACAAAGGATGTGGTCACTTCAAAGTTTGTGTTTCTTCTCCCTGATACAGATCTCGATCAAGTATAGCATCATGTACAAGTGTAAGCACCCAAACTGCTTCTGACGATCAGGTTGTCAAATTCTGGGATGAACTCAGTTTAGTTGGCTTACCAGATGACATTGATGTTCAAGCCTTATTTGAGCCAACAGGTAAGTTATGTTGCTGTCCTGCTCTTTTCCCGCCCAGTAGTAGTATAGTAGCTGCAATGACAGTGAGTGAAGTTTTTCAGCCGTTCGTTTTCTGTGCTCTGTGTTTGATGCTTTCATAGATTTTGCCGATGTTACATGGTGTTTTTCTATAGTCTCCTCTTCAAGTACTGGACAGAATTGTTGCCAGCTTTGTATGGGGAAATATTTGTAATCTACTGCTGAAGTGGTGTTCACATAGCAATATCTTCAATATCATGATTCTGTTTTGGAGACAAAAGAAAAAAAAATGAGACATAGCTTAATATAATTCTTGAAGTCCTAATCCTGTAGCTTTACCTGATCTCCTGCTGCTAATGCGGTGTTATCAGGAATAATGGAGGGGAAGGTTTAAAAGAGCAGTATTGATAGAACAATAGAGGCATAATACACTTGCATGTTTCTGGTATCTGTAGGTTTTCTGTCAGAAAAATGTCGGGTTTTTAATCTACTCTTTCATTTTAACGGAACTTTTATTTTTACTCAGTTATAAATTGCTTTTTCAGAAAGCATCTATGTCCAAATGCTTTGATGCCAGTAGTCTACTCACATATTTTGCCTCAAAATTTGAAATATACTTGTGCAATAATATAAATGTGATTCTTTCATGAGTGTGGAAACTCATTTCAAATTCTAATTACAAAAAAAAAAATGTAATGGTTTGTTTTAAATGGTTATACCACAGTGTGTGTGGATGGACTGGGGGGTTTTTCAGTCTGAATTTTTTGAAGTTGTTGTTATTATTTGTAGACAGTTCTTCCCAGGCCATTACAGAGATTTTTAGGGGAGTGTTTTGTTGCTGAATGATGAAATTGACCAAGTAGCCGATTTCAACAGCTAATGTAAAGCACCATTTTGAATCTAGTATAAAGCTGTCACAGATTTCCTTTGGACGTATGCATAATTTACATAGTTTTTCCCGGAATTTAATCAGAAAATAATTTTAAGAGATAGCTGTTGAATTCTGCAAGTTACGAATTGTTTAGTTATGTGGATGAACATTTCTAATTCTATCTCTGCAATGTCTTTGTTGTATTGACACAGTTTTCTCAGTCATTTATAGGGTGTTTCTGTTCATGCTATATTTTGAACTTTTAAAATTTTTGTGTAGCGTTCTAAAGCATCGTGCGAGCATGTTCTACATGAACATACAGATTGGGAATCATCAGTCAAGGGTACATGTATAGGCAAATGTTATCTACAGTGAAATACAAGTTCAAGTGTAATTCTGCATGTGTGTCTAGTGCACAAACATTGCATATACACCCTACTGTTACGATTGTAGCATCAGGCGTCTGAACATGAGAAACAGATGTACAGAATGTGCTGAAATCAAGGTGTGTTATGTGTCAAAAAAATTGCAGTGTATTTAATGTATAGTAACTGCAGTATATTTTGTGTGTGATGATAAGGGCATTAATTGTTGCAACAAGAATAACAGGAGAGAGACTGTTCACTTTATCTGGCAAGTATTTACTACTAGAACTAGGTTCCATACTTACAGGAAGTGCTTGAAAGAGTAGTAGAATCAAAGCTCTTTTTCTTTCCTAATGCGTAAGGTCACTGCTGGGCTCATCACCGCTGTGCGGAGTGGTCATTGGGAGTCTGCCAGACTGAAGAGCAGCTATCGGTGAACGTGGACAAAGCTGTTGTCTCAGGGAGCACAGAAGTGAGTAAAAAAAACTTGAATGCTCAATCCAGTAAGAAAAGAGGGGTTGGGGATTGAAAACAACCACGTTAGACTAATGCACAAGAAGGTATGACCAAAGTTCTCCACATATGGATCTTTAAGCTCACATTTACAATAAGGTTTCTTTGGACAGGTCTTCATGGTAAAATCTACTTCTGCAGTTTGTTAAAAAGACTTAAGGAGTTGCATGGAATGTATCATTAATTAGTTCTGAAGTAACTAGAATGTAGAAAGTACCTGGCTGATGAAAACAAAATACAGACAAAAGGAAAGTTGAGTTCAAATTACCAAATGCCCTGCTAGGTAGAAGAAATACTTATTTTGCCAGTTTATATTCTAAAATTCGGTGACTCAAATGCAGAAAAAAAAAAATCTCAGTTATTTTCATACCAGTATAAAAAAGCAGGTTGGTATAGGAAAACTGGTGTTTACCACAAAGCCAATGTTGTTACTTTAAATATTGAGAGAAATACATATATAAATATATAGGTTTTTAATATGAAATGGTAATGTACTTGGAAAAGGACAGACTCCTTCTGGTGTCATATTCTGATGCCATTTTGAAATGATGAAGAGACCTGTTTTAGTTTTTTGTATTCATCAGCCATGCTGTTAACAAATCTGTGTAATTTTTGGTGTTTTTACCTATGATCATGCTTAGGCTTATTTTTACTTGATTCTTAAAGTTTTTAATCTGTTATATTAAGATAAAAAAAAGATGGAGAAAGATACCAGTAAACTCTCTCCATCGTGTGGACTAAAAAGCTGCTTCAAATCAGTCTTTCAGTACAAGCCGTATAATACAGCTTTCCTTGTGCCTTCTACTTTTACATATACTCATGCTGAATAAATGCTTTGCTTTAAATAATTTAGTTGATTTCTCTGTATCTGCTTTCAAAACAAAAGACTATTCAGAATGAATGAACCTGACAGTATTAAGTTCTAAATGAGCTTGAAGATGTTAAAGCATTTGTGTGTATGTATAAAAAAATATAAAATTAATTGAAAGAACATCCAAAAGTGCTTGCTTTCTTTTTAAATCTCACTGCTGAAAAGTTTTCATCTCCTTGTTTTTGGCTGATAGTGGTGGCCTGTCATTTTGTGACCAGCTAATTCCCATCTGCAGTACTTTTCATTTTATCTTGGTTTCTAACAGAAACCCTTACTGCAGTGTTGGAGCTTGTATTTTGTTTTATTGAATTTCATCCCGTTTCTGTTACTTCAGTTCTGTTTCTTTCTGTGTGGTACGTTGCTCCTCCCCTGTGCCTCAGGGTGTTGGTGCCTCACCTTCACTTCATTAGTACATTTTAAGTTTTGTGTAGACAAATATTTAAACAAGAATTCTTGGAGAATCCCACATCTCTCTGCTGTGGTAGTTTCCATTTTAGCCCTGTCTTTTCATGTTCTGCTCTGTAGCTTCTCTACTAATCTTGTCAAATTCTGCAAATAATTGTTAGATACCTCTGTTGCACACGTTTCGGTGCAGTGCAGAGGGATGAGAGAAATTTGAGTCAGGTGCCATTCTACATATTTTTCTATTCAATCTTTGCTGAAACTGTTAAGAAACTTTCTTTGCTGTAATACAGAGATCAGCCAGCAAAGAATGACATTTTGGTTATTCTCTTTTTATCCTTCTTGTGACGTCCCTAGGGAGAGCAGAGTAAAAGCACAACTGTGATTGATTCTAGAGGAATGGCTAGATGAAATGGGACATCTTTATCCCATGACCAGTGAATTTTTTACTTTTTTTTTTTTTTATCCCCCACAAGAGATAAGGAACAAACTCTTCTGTAGTTCTCTGTTCCTGACCATGGAGCAGCAGTGTGGGGGTTGCTCAAAGAGTTTGTGTATTACTGGTTGGGAGCCCAAGTAACCCTGTGTTTCCTTGTGTCCAGGCTGTAGTATTTTGTAATAATTTTCCACTGCTTTTTGACTTGTTGCTAAGCTAAAGAGGCACAAAAAAGTATAAGGTGCTGGTTATCCTGTGTGATAGTGGAAAAGCTTAAGGGAATAAATTTTCTTTGCACGAGATATTTTTAAAAGTTTTGAATTAAAAATATAGCAATTAATTTAATGTATGTTTTTGCATTTATGGCTGCTTTTGACTTGCTGAAATTTTGGGCTTCTTTCTAATGTGATGTTACTGCATTTTAAAATTAAAGTTTCTACTTAAATGTTTTGAACACTGTTGGCAATGCAGATGCAAGTATGTGCTCAGGGCATACAGAAAAACAGTTTAAATAAAAACAAGCTGTATGCTGTTTCCTCTACTTGCCACCGAATTTGCTTTGGGTTTTTTTGTTGTTGTTTGCTTGGTTGGGGATTTCTGTCTTCTTGGAAGTCCCTCTGGCATGGCATGGGTTTGTGATGTGGTCTGCAGCATTGACATCTTTCCTTAGCTGGGAAATTGTTTTCTTTTCCTTATGTTCATGTACAGGTTAATTTTTGACATGTAGCAAACTTTTTCTTTATAGTGTAGTCCATTGGTTTAAGTCTTCTAATTTGTCGAGAGCGTTTTGGGGCTGTTCTTACCTTGAGGGTCTCTTTAATTTGTACGTTACATTCATGTTTCTCATTAGTTAGGCTGCCTATTGTTTGCAAATCTGTTTTAACTGGATATGGCAGTGTTTCTTATTACGCTGTTTACCAGTTGAGATGTCCATTTGGCTTCACTGAACTTGTGATTGCATTAGTAAAGCTTGTGTGGACATACTGCATTGACCTATTCCAAAGTATGTAAGTTAATTCATTTTGGTTTTCTTCTTGGCCCGTGTTTGCTGAAGGTTTAAAATACAGTGCCATAGAGGTCTCGCTATCTGTGCATGTTTCACGAGATACCCTGCTTAGCGTGTCTTTCTTCTTCAGTTCTTTCTTTTGATTCACTCATTTTGAAGGCCTTGACAATTTATTTAGTGAGAGATCTGACCAATTTGTTACACATATTTGTGTCTAGACATAGGTGGGTTCTTTGACTTTCTTTTAGAGTCTTGGATTTGCATGTATTTAATACTAATGAGTGCACGTATGTACATCTGTGTATGTGAGGTGTTTGAGATCTTTTGCATCATGTTGTTTTATAACAACAAACAAGTAAGAGCTGGAATATACAGTTAAGTTTATTATGGTAGACGTGCTCTCCCTGTTTTGGGTGGTATAGGTGACTCGTTTAGTCTCCTTGCTTGTCTTGCTTGTCTCAGCAAGTGGGAGTCATGGATTTTCTCTGAAGCCACTTGCTAAATGTAAAAAGTCAGAAGGAACAACTGGTGATCCAGGTGACAAGCATAGTGTAAGAGCTTTTCTGAAGATGACTCTTCAGAATTCACAGATGTACCTCTGTAGCTTGTACAGCGTGTAAGTTAAAGAGCCTGAACACTCAGTCATGGCAGTTCCGTGTGTTCCCCCCCTCCCCCACTTTAATAGGTTTTCATGGGACTTTGGAGTAATTTTGTTTCAAGCTTTGAATGAAAAGAGCTTCTCGGAATATGGATGGGGGAGAGAAAACTTCCAGTGATTTGCTTGATCTAAAACTTAACTAAATTGCTTATGATTCATAAGAGCTCTACTCTGTACATAAAAATTACTGTAGTAGAGAAGCTGTAATATTGTCAGCTTTATGAAGATAGACTTCTATCAGTAAGGTGTTTCTACGGATATTTATCATAAGTTCCAAAGACAGGATGAAATGGAGACTTAGTAAAATAAAGTAGGCAAAGGAAAATGATTGAACAGAAATCAGTTTTTGCTGAAAAAAAATAGACATGGGCAAGCAGAGTTTTCTGCTTTTTCTTGTATTTCTGGCTTCAGTCTTATACCTTCTTAACTATGCTGCTTTTTGATATTTGAAAGGGTGAACTTACTGGTATTACCATTTGAAATGGAAGCCTTTAGGGCTTGCATCTGCTCAGCTTTAACAAGAGTGGTTTGTGAAATATTTTCAGGTATTTTTAAATACTGCTTTATAATTCCCTTGTTTATTTTACATATATTGATGTCTGTTTCTCTATAGTCAGCTGAGGAAATAATGTTCTCTGCTTGTTTGCCTTACATTGTCTAGCCATAGCTCTTCTGTATGCTACAAAGTCCCAAGTGATGTGGGCTACTTTTTCTCCCCAATACCTAAGTAGCTCAATTCAGAAGATGGATTTAAGGAAGACTCAGTAGATAGGGTGTTTGAACTACTTCTGAACAAAGAGGGCATGAGAAAGGAATGCAATAATAATTTTCCCAGCCAGCTTTCTCTTCTGATAAGATGTAGGAAGCAGTTTAGAAGTCTGTGAGAATTTGTCAAGGACACTAAAGTCAAAGAAAACAATATTGGTGGTGTCCTGGTTTCAGCTGGGACAGAGTTACGTTTCTTCATAGTAGCTGGTAAGAGGCTGTGTTTTGAATTTGTGCGGAAGAGAAGCTGATCACACACTGATGGTTATAGTTGCTGCCATGACAGTCAAGGACTTTTCAGCTTCTCTGCTGTGCCCATGTCTGCAGGGGCAGGAGGAGCTGGGAGGGAGCACAGCCCCAATTACTAGCCTAGGAATTGACCTTAGGTTCAGGATTGAGACCCAAATTGGCCAATGACATACTCCATATCATGCACGTCATGCCCAGTATATATGTGAGGGTCTGTCCAGATTTTCTGTCTCTCTCTGGGTTTGCTCTTGACTCAGGATCGCATCTTTCTCCTGGGTTGCCCCACAGGGTCATCTCACTTTCTCCGTCAGCTCGCAGTCTCTCAGCTGCTTGGGTTCTTATCTCCGCAGAGATGAAGTCGCAGCTCCCACCAGATGGTCTGCACTCAGGGTGTGCAGCCAGACAGCTGAAAATTTGCTGTCTTCTCCCACCCATCCACGTTCTTTTTTAGTTAATCGGAGCAGTATCTTCACTCTGTACAAGGCAGCTGTTTTCAGCTCCTGCTGAGTTTCTGCAGGCTGTGTTTGGCATGTTATCGTTGCTGAGAATTGTAGGAGTTGTTGCTTTGCATAGAAGCAAGCTAATCAATAGTATCTTGCCTTCCTCCAGACTCAAAACAATCTGCTGTTTTGACACTCCTCTCCCCTGTAAGCCCTTTTCACACTGTAATGCAATCTTGAAAAAAATTTTTTTAAGGCAGTTTCCCTTGAATTCTGTCACCAGAGGCGGGAGATTACGCTGTTTGTAGATGTGTCCAAGTTGGGGCAGTGTTACAAGGCTTGCATATTAAATATCATACTCAAATTGTCTCTTAAAGCCCTTTCCATCTACTGTTTTTAATTCTTTGCTCAAGACTGTATTCTGGTGTGATGCTTACCAAGCAAGACCCTAAAGAAATAAATTGAGGGGAAAGTTGGGAAACATTTAAAATGTTCATACTTCCTTTTAAAAAGTGTTTGTCCATATTTTGAATGTATCCCCACCCCTTAGCCTCAGTGCAATTGTCATCTTGTTGAGACATGTCCATTTTTTTAGTGGTATGTGTGTGTGTTTACTCGTACTGCTTTAAGTTGAAAACCGATTTGTCTGAACTGATGCTTCCTTTTGTTGTTCCTTTTATGTAAAGTTAAGCATCAACATCTTGATACACTGTTCATACATGGTGGAGGATTGTGCTCATTTAGCCATAGCAATTTTTAATCTAGTTTTACTTTTTGTTGACATAAAAACTGTGTGTGAAAAATAGTTTAGATGACAGAATCGTGAAGATGAGGGATGGTGTTGGCTTCATATGTCTCAGCCTAGCTGAACAGAGCGTGTAGTGATGTCTTTTTTTCAAGAGAGTGCAAGATTTGCAGTTCCTTGATGCTCTAAATGCTCCCTTCTTCCTTTTCATTATTGGAAGAGTTAGTAATTCTTAAAGCCAGGGAAAAATGCATAAAGAACATAATCTATCATAATTTATACCATTTCTGGACAGAATCCTCTGTATTTGCCCATTTTTCAAGGAGAAGCTTTATAATGTGATACTAATAAGTGGCTCTGGTATTCAGATGTTCCTCTCCCACCTCTTGAGTTCTTTATGGTACTTCTGCATGCACAAGGCACTTGGCTTCTCTTCATCTCCCTTCACTGCAGCTTGGCAGTGACTACCTGGCTGATCATCTGTTGCAGGGGCTTCTGATTTTATCTTACTGAGGTTTTTTTTTTTTTTCCTGTAGTTGCTTTTGTCTTGCAACTGAGGAAGGAAGTACTGCAGGAAGTATTCTTCCAAAATAACATCTCTAGTTTTTTATGGGTTGCTGTCTCTTAGAGAACTGTGGCACAGAAAGTGCTATAGAAAGACTAGAGGAATACTGATGAATGTCTTATCAAGACAAGACTTCCATATGCTTGTGGTCAGTTTAGTAGTTTTATTCAGTTCCTAGCATGTTTTAGAAATACTGTAACAGTTCAGCCCTGGGACCATGAGGTATTTATTTCAGTGTGCGTGAGTTTCCCTCTTGTTATTTTGGAGTTCCTGTAGAGATCTGTAGCCATTTCCCTGCCAATGATGATGATAAGCTTTGCGCTTCAAGGGAAGACATAGTAACCAAGTGTACAGCTTTGGTAACATTTTAGCATTGTAAATTTTCTTCCCTGAATTACTCTGTTCCAGAGCAGTTTGGAATTTGGTCATCTGAAGCCAGCTTGTTAATGACATCAGAAACAAAAGCCAGCTTGTTAATGAATCAGAAACGCTGTGTCAGTTATTTTACAACTGTTATTTTCCAAGTTCTGCAAAGCCACCGTGGTATCTTAAAATTATCCTAGTTGGTTTTGGTTTACTACATATAATTCTTCTGGAACACCTTTGTACACCATAAATGATGTCAGTACAGCTTTGGTAAATCTGTTCAGGTTCAAGAGCTGCCACTCTAACGCACTGGTTAGAGTGAAACTGTGTCCTGGTCTGTAAGAAACCAGTGCTAGAGCTTAACCCCAGACAGCTGTTGCAAAAAGACAATGACTAGCTCGTGTATTCTAATAAATACATTTTAGGTTATAAGTAATAAACTTTTTTCAGAGTAAGAGATGATTTTTTTACAAACCGTCATTTTTGTCCAACATACAATCTCTGTGGTTTCATTGCCTGGTTACCCCTACAGTTTCATAGAACAGAAGCATGATGTCATTTCTGGCAGGTGGATCTGCACAAATGACCTCTCCCATAACTGCGTTTCTGGAACTCAGTAGCAAATAAGGAGGGAAAAGACTTGGGTTACTTGGGCAGCACAAGACATCTTTCCTTAAGACTGTTCATATGGCTTCATTTAGAGGAAAGTGTTTGATTTTTCAGCCTCACCTATTCCTTTTTCTCTCCCACTGCAGTGGTGCTGCTGGTTTCCTGCTGTGGTGCCAGGAGGCTGTTCTGCGGGAGCTGGCCCTGTGACCGCTCCCTTGGCACTGAGTTGGAAAGCAGAGTCAGCCTTAGAGTTTTCAGTCTGGGGGGAGGGGTTTCAAGATGAATGCTTTAAAAGATGCACCTTTCTTGAACTCTAGATGTCTGATATGTGGGCACTAGAACCAGGGGAGAGAGGCTGTTGCTACAGAGATGTTTCGGAGAAAGTTTTGATCCTGAATAGATGATAGGCATTGCAGATGCTAACGCCAGTCTGTGAGGTGTAGGAAGCAGACAAAAGGGACTGTGGGCACGGAGAGAGACTGAGAGAGAAGCAGCAATAGTCCAGGAATGAAAGCTGAAAAGCCTAGCTGAGAAACATGAAAAGGCCTATGTTCCTGAAGGAATTTCCAGTGCAGGTTTTCTTTATTCAGTAACATTCGCTGAAATAATGTACTGAAAGCTTTGAAGTGAAATTGTTTAGTGTGTGTTCCAAACTGGTGAAGTGTGTTTCACAAAGACCTTTTCTTCCTTTTTGCATGACTTGAGTAGAAAACACTTTTTTCGTAATATGCCCAAAGAAATTCTCTATATTCCTTTTTTTCTTTTCTGCTCCGGGTGTCTTTCTTAAATGTTACCCTAAGCACTAAGGCAGTGACGTACTAGTTCACTTTGAGGTAGCACTCTGTTGCTGGGCATTTGATTTCAAGAGTTCATAATCTATGTATACCAAGTTATTCTGGGGGTTTATGTGGTAAAAACAGGGAGAACCTCATCTCTGAAGAGCGAAGAAAGCCCGCTAAAGTAAGATCACACTGTCTCTTAAGATTGTACCTTCTTCTTCAACTAGTGCTTCAGCTTGCTCGTCCGACTGACCCGTTTTGGTACTTTGCTATAGAACATGAGAATATGGATACTTGAGCTCTCCCTTTCTCCGCTCTTTCCATGCTCAGCAGCAGTACCATAGTCCTTCAAGTTGTACAAAATAAACAAAAATGACACTGTAATGCCCCCAAATTTTAAATATGGAACAAGGAAATAACAAAATGTTATTTTAAAAATG